ATTCCAAACACCCGCTTTCTGGTCCAGGAATAAAGCATCAAGGTTAGAACTAGAAAAAACTAAGTCAAAAATACAGAGCACAGGGACCCCTACCCCAGGGGGAAAAGTCCTCCAGAGAAAACCGTAGTTAACAAGAAGCAAAAGCAGAGAGCTTAGGCTAGAGCAAGAGTCATAGGCATGATGCTTCTGGGGACTGGTGTCAGCACAGGGATTCTTCTAAAGATGCACAGAGTCCACCACCAGCACCTTGCTCCAAATGCCAATGTTAGTCAGAGCTGAGCTATCACTCTCCGGGATTAATAGTGTGTTGGATGATTACCAGAAAACAATTTTTCCAATATTTAAAAACAGATTTCCTCCCTCCCTCCCAAACCGGTCAGCAAATGCTCAAAGCTGCATATTGTAAATAGCCACAATAACGGGTCACACCCACCAAGGACCATGAAAATGGCATATGACTAGGCAGCATTTGTTGTGTTATATATAAGGTTGCCATGAATCAGAATGGACTCTGTGGCCACTAACAAAAACAGGCCCCTCCCTCTACCATGGCAGGGACAGAAACTTACACCTCAAAGCACAAATTCTATTGTCAGACTGTTGCTGTTGTTGTTGTTAAGTACCGTGGAGTCGGTTCCGACTCATAGTGACCCTGCACAGGGTTTCTGATGCTGTAAATCTTTGCGGGAGCAGAAAGCCTCATCTTTCTCCTGTGGAACAGCTGGTAGTTTCGAACTGCTGACCTTGAGGTTAGCAGCCCAGTTCGTAACCACTATGTTACCAGAGCTCCTGCTTGGGTTCAAATCTCAGCTCCACTTGACCTTGGGCAGGTTATATAACATTTCTGTGCCTTTGTTTCCTCTTCTGTAACATGGACACTAAGAATAGTACCTACTTCCGCAATGTGAGGAACAAAGAGTTAATATAAACCAAATGCCAAGCACAGGCCTAAAAGCCTGACTCATGCTAGATGATTGCTTGCTGGTGTAATCTGAAATAGGGATGCGAGGAAAGATACTGCAAAAATGTTTCCAAAGTGAGTTAGACAAGATGAGCCAAACAATGAATTTGTTACAAGGCAGGGATGTTTTTATGAAAATTAAGAGACAAAAAGAGGCATTGTTTTACCTCAGCACATACTAGTTTTGAATGACCCTCTCTCCTGAATTGAATTGTACCCCCCCAAATTATGTGTCAATTTGTCTAGGCCAGGATTCCCAGTATTGTGTGGTTGCTCTCCATTTTGTGATCTGATGCAATTACTCACTATTATGTGACGTGGTGTAAATGCTAACTCTGTATGTTAATGAAGAGAATGCTTTCAGAGTGGGGTGTATCTTGAGTCATCACCTTACAAGTCTTACTCAAGTCACACCTTAATGCAAGTCTCAACTTTACTTATATCATACCTTTACTCAAGTCCCACCCTTTCCTAAGTTACACCCTTACACATGCTACATCACAAGAGCTAAAAGGAAAGAGAAGTGAGCAAAGAATAAAAGGATCTCACAATTTCAAACTTCTAGCCTCTTAACTATGAGGAAATAAATTTCTGTTAAAGCCACTCACTTATACATTTCTGTTAAAGCATCACTAGATAACTAAGATGGAATTTGGTTCCAGAAGAGTGGTGTACAGATCATTAAGAAGACAATAGAAGGAAAAAGTCAAAATGGATGTCAGAACAGAATGTGAAACTTGCTCTCCAGTGTAGAGATGCTAAAGTAAATGGAAGAATGAGGAGGTGAAAAAGCTGAACAGAAAATTTCAAAGGGACACTTGAGAAGATGAAGTCAAGTATTATAATGAAATGTGCAAAGACCTGGAGTTAGAAAACCAAAAGGGAAGAAAACACTCAGTATTTCTCAAGCTGAAATAATTGAAGAAAAAAATTCAAGCTTTGACTTGAAATATTGAAAGATTCTAAGGGCAAAATACTGATGATGCAGAAAGCATCAAAAGAAGATGGAAGGGATATACAGAGTCACTGTACCCAAGAGAAATGGTTGATGTTCAGCCATTTCAAGAGTTAGCATATGATCAAGAACCAGTGATAGTGAAAGAAGAAGGCAAAGATACACTGAAGGCATTGGCAAAGAACAAGGATCTGGGAACTGATGAATGCAAATTGAGATCTTTCAACAAATTGATGCTGCACTGAAGGCGCTCACTCATCTCTGCCAACAAATTTGGAAGACAGCTACTTGGCCAACTGATTGGAAGAGATCCCTATTTGTGCCCATTCCAAAGAGAGGTGACCCAATAGAATGTGGAAATCATCAGACAATATCATTAATATCACATGTGAGTGAAATTTTGTAGATAATTTAAAAACGGCAGCAATAGTACATTGACAGAGAACTTCCAGAGGTTCAAGCCAGATTCCGATGATCAGTGTAATGAAAAATATCATTGCTGATGTCAGATGGATCTTGGCTGAAAGCAGAAAATACCTGGCTGAAAGCAGAAAGATGTTTACCTGTGCTTTATTGACTAAGTAAAGATTTTCGATTTTGTGGGTCATGACAAACTGTGGACAACATTGCAGAAAATGAGTATTCCAGAACACTTAATTGTGCTCATGAGAAACCTGTACATAGATCAAGACATAGTTGTTTGAACTTAACAAGGGAACAATTAATGGTTTTAAATTAGTAAAAGTGTGCACCGTATTTACTCAATCTGTATGCTGAGCAGATAATTTGAGAAACTGGATTATATGAAGAAAAACATGGCATCAGGATTGGAAGAATACTCATTAACAACCTGCAATATGCAACTGATACAACCTTGCCTGCTGAAAGTGAAGAGGACTTAAAGTACTTATTGATGAAGATCAAATACCACAGCCTTCGGTATGGATTGCATCTCAATGTAAAGAAAACAAAAATCCTCACCATTGGACCAATAAACAACATTCTTATCAATGGAGAAAAGATTGAAGTTGTCAAGGACTTCATTCTTCTTAGATCAACCATCAACACTCATGGAAACAACAGTCAAGAAATCAAATAACATATTGCATTAGGTAAATCTGCTATACAAGACCTCTTAAGTACCATGGACTGCCAAAACAACAAACCAAACTGTGTTGGAAGAAGTACAGTCAGAGCGCTCCTTAGAAGTCAGGATGAGCAAACTTTGTCTCTCATACTTTGGATATACTATTAGGAGGGACCAGTCACTGGAGAAGGATATCATGCTTGGTAAAGTGGAGGGTCAGCAAAAAGAATGAAGATCTCATTGAGATGGACTGGCACAGCAATGGGCTCAAGGGTAGCTATGATGGTGAGGTGGGCTCAGGACCAGGTAGCACTTCATTATTTTGTGCAGTGTTGCTATGAGTCGGTACCGACTTGATGGCACTTAACAACCACAACAAAAATAAATCCATTCACTGATGGTGTTTCTATTATGGCAACACTAGGTAACCAAGCCATCATTTCAGAGTTCAAGTCACGCACCTCGCAATAGCCTATAAGGCACTTCTCCTGCAAGTCTCAAATTTGGTGGCACATTGGAATTACCCAGGAGCTATAAACCACTGATCCTGAGTTTTTTACCCCAAACATCTGATGTAATCAGTTGGGGTATGGCCTGAGCATCAAAATGTATAAAAGTTCCAAAGATGAACTGAATGTGCACCTGAGGTTGAGAGTCATTGCCCTCCTTGATCAGCTTCTCATTGTTCCGCTGACCTCATCGACAACTACTGCCCACCCCCTTGCTCACTTTGTTCCAGCCACAAGGGTCTCCTTCCTCTTCTTCAAACATGTTAAGTGAATTTCTACTTCAGAGCCTGTGCACTTGCTGGTCCCTCTAACTTAGAAAGTTCTTCCTCAACGTGTCCACACGGTTTGCTCTCTCACCTCCTCTGCTTTGCTCAAATGTCATCTACTTAGTGAGGGCTTTTCTGACCACCCCATTAATCAGTGCAGCCCTCCTTCCTCATCCTAGGCAGCCCATATTCCTCGCCCCCAATCTGTATTTCTCTGTAGTACTTATCACTATCAAACATATTAGCTATTTGACTTCTTTGTTTCGCTTATTATTGGTCTTCCCGAACTAGAATGTATGCTCTGTGACAGCGGGGCGTTTTGTGTGTTTTGTTCACTACATTATTTCCAAGCCCAGACTACACTGTCTCAATAAATATCCCTTAATGAACATAGACTGTTTTCCTCCCTTGTAGATCCTTAACTGCTCATTCATTCCTAGGGCCCAGCCAGGTTCCCCCTGGGTCCAAAACAACCATGTTCAGTTAGTATATAGCTGTTACTCAATAAACACCTATTGAACTGATCTGAACTCTCCTCTTTGAAAGAACAAAGTCTTTCCAACCCAGCAGCCAGATGTTTCCTGAAAATTCCAAGTACACACTCATTTTGTGGTTTGCAGCTTTAAGAAAATTTTAAAAATTAGGACAAAGAGGGGAAAGAAAGCGTGTGTGTGTGGTGGTGGCGGTAGGGGGAGCTCACAAAATTAATGAGATTTTTTTCAGCTGCGGTACGTGCTCATATTTTTAATAATTAAAAGTAATAAAATTTCTAACTGAACCTTAAAGGAACATCCTTCTGTAACAAAGAGAAAAGTCAAGACAGATCTCTGCCAAATGCAATGACTTGTTAGACCTGGAAGATGGATGTCGTTTAAAAAACTAATTTACAGCAAAAAAAAAAAAAAAAAATAGTGGTTCATGAAAATGCACCTAATTGGGTTAAAGTGACATAGTAATAGGAATGCCAGATGATTCCATGGTCCTTAAGGAGTAAATTAGGTTATTAATCCTCAAAATCTCTATTGGAGGCAAATAGGGAAGAAGGCAGTTTTCTCTCTACTTAACAGATAGAGAAACTGAGGCTGAGACGAGTGGCTTGTCCCAGGCAGGCAGGAAAGAACCCCAGAGTCCAGACACCCAATCCTGACTCTGTGCCCAGCACTGCGCTGACCCCATCTCCTCACAGGTAGACCAACAAGGCGCCCAGTAACTGACTGCTCACCCACTGGGTCTGAGGTCGGGCAGAGGCCGGTCGAGGGGCAGGCGGTCACTGAGGTAGGCATTGTAACCGTAGTACTGGAATTGCTTCAAAGCCACACGCCGACCTTCGGGGCTGAGCTCCTGGCCCCAGTGTGCAAACAACGAAGAATCTGTGAAGGGCTCAGTCTCTGCTTCCTCAGGCTTAGCAGGAGTCTCTAGGGAAAGAAGGAAGAAGGAGACAGAGGGTCAGAGTGTACCCCTGTAGAAACCATGAGAAGCCCTCTCCCTTCTTCACAACCTGGCTTTGGTAAAACAGTCTTAGTCACATCTCTGGGGTAAAAGCTGAAATTTTCATGCTTCCCAAGAATCCATCCATCCAGTATGAATACATACAACAACCACTAGGCACAGAGGATCTAGAAATAGACCTAACATTCTGCCAAAAAGCTGACCCCTGAGTGTTCTCGTTTCCCAGCCTGCTATCCTGCCAGGAACATTGTTCCCAAACCTGTAACTGCACATCTTCTCTTTCCCCAGGTTGTACCCCATTCCATCCTAGATCTGGATCTGCCCCATGCTCAGCCTTGCTGATTGGGGATCTACTCCGCTGCCCAGCTGTTGCCAGCTGTGGTCCTGCTGTGAGTTGCTGGCACCAAGGCAGTGACATTCACCTATGAGCACTCTCAGCTCCAGAGTGCCCCCTGCGGCTTCCAGGCTCTGCCCATCAGGGACACAGGTGATGGTCACACCATCTCCAGCCTGCCTCACACTCCTGGCCCTGCTCACTGGACCTGGAAGTTTGTGAAGGCAGCTCCACCCAGGTCAAGAACTCACAGTTTTCTTGAGGCCTTCTTAGAGAATGGAGGGGACATTATGATCTAAAAAAGCAGGGACTTGGGATTCACACAAACAGTTCAAATCCCTGCTCTACCCTTTACTGGATACGTGACCATACGCAAAAACTCAACCTCTTGGCATCTCAATTTCCCCACCTGTAATGTGGCGAACCCTGGCATGACACTTTTGGAACAGCACTGAATTGCTAACTGCAAGGTCAGCAGTTCAGACCTGCCAGCCACTCTTGGATACCCTATACAGGGTCACTATAAGGAGCTCTGGTAGCGTAGTGGTTACAAACCGGGCTGCGAACCTTAAGGTCAGCGGTTCAAAACTTCCAGCTGCTCCGCGGGAGAAAGATGAGGCTTTCTACACCCTCGGAAACCCTGTTCAGGGTCGCTATGGGTTGGAACCGACTCGACGGCACTTAACAACAACAACAACAACAACAACATGATTCAGAAACGACTAGACAGCATACAACAAGAAGAATGTGGGAATACTGAAGTTTTGTGAAGATTACATCATAAAATAATATATGGAGAGCACTTAGCTCAGCATCTGTCTCAGATAAAGTGCACAATAAATGACAATTTGGGCTGTTCTAGCAAGGAAAGCCAAGTAGGTCATTTAAATTCCCCTTTATAGGGTAACAGACAGAGAAACAACCAGGGCATTAGCTGATGGGCCAGGACTTTGGAGATGATCCAGAGGACAGAATGAAGGTTAAAGCACTCAAGGTCAGAAATCAGAGGCAGTGCCATACATGCTCCTAAGCATATGATATAAACTAAGAGAGGGAGCCTGGAGCCTAGAGTAAGACAGAGACCAGAAGAAAGCAGAAATATGTCAGGGACAAGAGTGGCAGGCTTGGAATACCTGTCAGTTTCACCTCAGCTGCCTGTATGGAATCAAAAAGAACTAGCGTCACCTCCATTTATTTTTTATTATTTTTTTTAGATAAGGAACGTGAGGCACCAAGAAACACCACAAAAGGAAACGAAGTATGTGTTAATCAATCCTGGAAAGTCCATCTCGCAGGGCATTGGCCTTGCCCTCTACACAGTCTGCCTCAACATGACAATGGGCCAGGATACATGTGAATTCCAAGGAAAAACATGGACATTTTGTTTTGGCTAACTAACTTCCTTAAAGACAAGGAAGGAAACACAGATATAGTAAGCAGATTTGAATACATACTAAGGAGCCAAATGCAGACTATGCATGCATTTTTTAAGACAAGGCTAGAGATTTAATGACTGTGGTAGCCTGCCCAAAGCTACAGTCCAATACGTGGAGGGGCAACGTTGGAGGGAAGCACAGCGCTTGTATGATCTTGCGTTAAAGGTTCTTGTTATCTCTGAACAGATGCATGGCTCCTGGTAGGGTCTGCCTGTTGCTGTGAGGCATTGGGACTGTCTCTAATGAAGGACAGGTTTTCAGAGCTGTCCTGAAGTCTTTCATCCACTCCCTCTGTGATGTCCCTGGGAACAGTCTGGTGCCATGATTTGAGGCCTTCGTTAGTTCTGCACTGTCTGAGAAAGCAACAAAGGCAAGAAAGCAGACTGGCTCCTTTGTATTTACAGCAACCCAGACTGCTTTTCCTGGCTCCCAGGACCCAAAATATAATATCCGCCGCCCCCTCCCCCCCCAGATGACTTATTCACCTTATTCACAATGATGTGGCTGTAAAGCACTATGTTCTACTGGCCCTGCCTTGTTGTTCTTGTTAAGTGCCGTCGAGTCGGTTCCGACCCATAGCGACCCTGTACAGGGTTTCCGAGGGTGTAAATCTTTACGGGAGTAGAAAGCCTCATCTTTCTCCCGCGGAGCAGCTGGTAGTTTCGAACCGCTGACCTTAAGGTTTGCAGCCCGATTCGTAACCACTACGCTACCAGAGCCTTAGGAGATAGCAACTGTGGCCAGCATTCTCTCCCTACCAGACCCTGGGGGCAACTGGGTGTCAACATTTGTCTGTACGACTATCTACCCAGCAGCCAGCTCTTCTGCAGTATGGTGTGAGAATATGCTAGCATTGCGCCTGCTTAAGGACCCATGTCCTACAACAGTGTAAGATTCCTAAAGGTAGGGAGTCTGTTGACACGTCTCTCCCCTCCTGAGTGGTTCTCAGCATTTTACCCATCACCCCCATCTGTGCCACTGGCCACACCCCCACCAGTAATGGATACTCATGAAGCCAACCATCTTTAAAGTGTAGAGGCACACCAGGATTTCCAAGATTTGAAAAGGCCCCAGTCCTAAGAATCCTACCTACAGGTGACTTGGGGAAGTAGGGGTTCAGTGATGAGCCTCTGAAAAACCCCATCCCTAGGTAACTTCCCCAAAGCAGGAGGCTTTTATTGATCTATATTTCATATATGTGCTGGGGACCGCTCTGTACAAACCACCTGGGAAGCTTGTAGTAAACCCTAGACTCAGAATCTTAAGGCTTGGTCATTTCCAAGAGCTGCCGGGCAAGAGAGAAGGAGGAGAGCACTCTGGGGGCTGAAGACCACTACAGGTTTTTCCATACCTGAGTACATCTAAGACCCCTCCCAGATTTGCCTGGAGGATGAGCACCTTCTTGACTGTCAGGTAGGAAGTATGAGACATCCTGATGCTCAACAGGGCAGAGGAAAATCAACTTTGCAACCCTGAGTTATTAAACTTCCAAAAGGTTGTTGTAAAGAGGGCAGTGGTAATGTATTATTACATCTGAAGAAGTCCTAGTATTTATCCAGTAAAACATTTATGATCTATAAAGGGATTACAGAATTTATTCAGGGAATAAAACATGAAGAGTTCCTTTGTTGTGTGAGGTTTGAAATAGAATTGACATGAAGTTCTGTTGGTTAGAGAAGCGAAGTTTCCTCTGACTTCTTAATAATTACCCTGCCCCAGACCTTCTGCTGCAAAATTTCTGGCAATGGAATATCTCGGGGTGGATTTTTAACAACCTTGCCAGGTGTTTCTGGTAGACACATTGACATGTACGCATCACTGCTCCAACCCAGTGGTTGTTGGTTGCACACTGGAATTACTATGGAGATAAAAATGATGCAAAACACAAGATTCCTGGGCGCCACTACCAGAGATTTTGACTGTTGGTCTTGGGTAGGGCCTGAGCATCTGTAGTCTGTGTTGTTCTCTTGTCCCCCAGTCAACCTGAATGTGCAGTAGCCAGGGTTGAGAATTTGGGTTCTGCCATGACCTTGGGGCTAGATTGATTCCATGTGCAAATCTCTGCGTGTGGGTGTATATGGGTGTGTCCTGGGTGGTTTCAACCCTCAGGTACATGGTCTGGTTTTCATCAAAATGCCTCTAGCCAGCTATCAGATTGGCCTGGAAGACTCTGCTGTCTTCTGAGGATCTTGCTCTCTCTCCTGTTGCCTCTTCAGTGTCTGGCTCTGGACAAGGAAGGATACTTGGGAGCAGAGGCAGGAACAAGATGGAACTGGCAAGAGTCCTGACTGTCCAGCATGGGTGCCCTCCTTCTCCTCTGTTCCCAGTGGGCAAAGGTGGCAGATGTGGCCAGTGGACACACATAGTAGTAACTGTCTTCTCCCGGTCAGGCCTCCTACCACCTGGACCCTGGGTTTGGAGAGCTACTCTCTTCTGGACATACTGACCATCATCAGAGATGATCCGTTTATTTCCCACCCTATGTAGATGTTAAGCTCCTGACTCCCATAGGTAGAAAGTTTCTCTACCCTGAGTCTACTAGCAATCTAACCCAAAGCCAAGGAATTGGGTCCTGCCATTGATCTGTGTGTGTCCTTATTGCTAGACCTTTTAGAAATGTGAACATCAGTCTGAAGATACAGCAAACACCCTGGTCCACGTCTCACCTCGTGGCTTCTTTCCCTCTCACCCTGTCCTCACTTTGCCTTTCAGTGTAAGCTTCAGCAAGACACTTAATCTTTTGGGTGGAAGTAGTAACTGCCTTGGTCTGTCCTCTCAGAAATTAGACAGATGAACTTAACTAGCTTGTGTTTTGTTTGTTTGTTTCATTAGCCACAGAGCTCTTCCTTTGAAGGCTTTCTTATGTAGAATCCCAATATATAAACAAATTAAATTAGAGCCACTTTGGTAAAGGGGAGTAGAGAAACCTTAACTTCCCACTCAGGGTCCACCTTTCCCAAGGGGTTCCCTTGAGAATATTTTGAGATCCACAAGCCTAAATAAGTTAATTTCAATTGGGGGCCACCCCTCCTTCTTTAGGGATTTTTATCTGAAGGCATTTGTTGCTGTTGTCAGGTGCTATCGAGGCAGTTTTGACTCACAGCAGCCCTGTGCACAACAGAACACAACATTGCCCAATCCTGTGCCATCCTCACAATTGTCACGTTTGAGTCCATTGCTGTTGCCACTGTGTCAT